TTGGGATGTCATGTTACGTTTGTACAGAACGTTAGTGTTGCAACTTTCAGTGAACTGTGTACAGTTCTGATCGCCCTGTATGGGAAGGATATGCTTAACTTGCAGAGGTTCTGGGAAATATCTTACAAGGATCTCACCAGCACTGGAGGGTTTGAGTTATAAGGAGAGGCGGGATAGGCTGGGATTTTTTTTCATGGAAAGTAAAAGTTTGAAGAATGACCTCATACAGGGTTATAAAACCATGTGGAGTATGGATGAGGTGAACAGCACAGGTCTTTTCCTGGGAGTAGGACAGTTCAAAACTAGAGGGCATTTATTTAAAGAGACAGAGTGGAAAGTTTTTAAAGTCACCTGAGTGATTTCTGTTTCACACAGAGGGCAGTGTGCAGGTGGACTAAATTGGCAGTGGGTTTGGTAGAGGCGGGTAGATTTACAACATTTGAAAGACATTTGTAAAGGTACATGAACAGGAAATGTTCAGAGGTATATGGACCAAATGCAGACAAACAGGACTAGTTTATCTTGGGAAATGTGGTCGGCTTGAATGATTTGAACCAAACAGTCTGTTTGTGTGCTGTATGATTTGACGATTCTATGAAATAGCAACCCCATGGGCCAGCACATTCTGTGGTCTATCCTTACTTCTAACCCAGGAGATACTGAGCAATATTCCTGACCCTTCCCTTTCATATACGTGCTGACAGTTTTAGCTCAGGTTGAATTCAATGTAAATTCTTCATAACTTTGGCCTGGAAAATGCACCAAGTGCAGTTATGCATGGATTTGAATTATTAACTGCTGTACATCTTTTAAAAAATATTTTTCATTCTGTGTTTTTGTCACTAATTTTTTTCTGAGTATCATATTTAACATTTAATTTATGATCTGTTTGCAAACATCCTGGTTAGCTCTAAAATCTGAGTGGCCCAAATCTGAGGAAGGTTCTCTCCATCCAAAATGTTAACACTTATATCTATCCACAGATGTGCCTGACCTGCTGAGCTTTTCTAACAATTTCTATGATTGCCCTGGTAAGCCTTCAGCGACAACTTTTCAGTCTGACTGGGTTAATGAGGCAGATGAGGGCTTGTCCCAGTCACAAGAAACAGGAGCTTGGTTCTCTATTGAGGATCACTTTCAGCTCAAATCATATTCACATTCAAATGTCTAAAGAGGATCTAAACCCAGACCTAAAATTGACCTCAGTCCTCCTGGTCAACTAATTTTGGTAATGGGCCAAAACACTTAGTATCACAGCTAATGTTTTGTAAGTTTATTTTCTGTTCTTCTATTGAGGAAAAATAAAACATGAATATGGAATTCCTAACACAGCATCCACAAGTTCTGCATGACAAAATAGTAATAACGTCAGTGAGCTAAGAATAGAAACATAGAAAATAGGAGCAGGAGGAGTCCATTTCACACTTCGAGCCTGATCCTCCATTCATCACGATCATGGATGATTGTCCAAATCAATTGCCTAAAACTGCTTTCTTCCCATGAGCTTTGATCCAATTTGCCCAAAATGCAATATCTAGCCGCCTCTTGAATATATTAATTCAGAACAGTCGAACATTTTGCTGAGATACGCTCAAATTCCATCCAAGGCAGATGGTAAATTTTTCAATTCAGTAAAATATAGAATCAAAAAACAAACTTCATGGTGCCCAAACCTTTGGCTTAAAACCCCATCTGGTTTACTCATAAATGTCAGAAAACTAAATGCGCATTCTTTACCAGGTCTGCCCTGTTCATGACTGCAGACCAACAGTAATGTGCTTGAATCTTAACTGCCCTCTGAAATGGCTTTAGGAAGCATCTCAGTTGTCTCATATTCAGGGCAATTAAAGAGGGGTAATAAATGCCGGCCTAGTCAGTGACACTAACATGCCATGAATAAAATAAACCCCTGATTAAACTTGTTGAACTGGGCACTTGCCATCGACTGAATTTCAGTTTGGGTCATCTGGAGTTTTGTTGGACATAGAGGTTTTGTGGTGCTTTGCTCTCCTGTGTAAGTGAAAGAATATTTTATTGAACGTGTTGATATGAGGTCACAAAGTCAATATATTAAAAGTAGGAGGCATATTCCTACACAAAATTCTTAAGAAATGGCTTCATGATTGCTGATTTTGCCATCAATAAGAGGGGCAAACTCCATTCATGACCACCCAAAACTCAACACCTTCCCCACAACGCTTCCTCAAGACCGAAAGTCTGTATCCACTTGGTCCTCGCTGTATCTGCTAATGAGAATGGGTCTTGTTTATCTAACCACGTAATCTTGCACACTGCTTCCAAATCTCTGCTCGAGCTTCTTCATCTTAAGATAAACAATTCCAACAACGTCAACCGAAACTTGCAGCTAAAGTCTCTCACTGCTGGAACGAGGACTTGGTGTCACTCCTACACCAGTCACTAAAAGTAAACATGCAGATGCAGTGGTGAAGAAGGCAAATGGTATGTGGCCTTCAGAGTTAGAGGGTTGGAGAACAGGAGTGGAGATGTTTTACTGCAATTGTGCAGTTCCTAAGTCAGACCGCCGGGAGCGTTCCGTGTTCAGTTATGACCTTGCTATCTGTGGACGGACAGAATGGAACACCGACAGTGTGGAAACAGGCCATTCAGGCCAACAAATCCACACAAACCCTCTGAACTGCATTCCAACCAGACTCACCACCCCACCCTATCCTTGGAAACCTACAATTCCCATGGCAAATGCACCTAACCTACATTCTTGTATGCTATGGGCAATTTAGTATAACTGATCCACGTAAAATGCACATCTCTGAATGTTGGGAGGAAACCATAGCACCCAGAGATAACCCACGCAGACGCAGGGAGAATGTGTAAATTCCGCAAACACAGCTGCCCAAGGCTGGAATTGAACACGGGTCCCTGGTTCCGTAAAGCAGCAGTGTTAACCATTGAGTCACTGTGCCTCGCCACTGAGCCTCGCCACTGAGACGCCGTGCCACCACATATTCTGCCAATAGAGTAAATGCAAGGAATGCGTAACAGACTGATTCGTACAATAACAAAACTGATGTATGAAGAGAGATTGGATTGGTGAGGAGTTTTGAAGAATGATTTTGGGTGAATTTCATCGAAACTGAAGTAATTCTACCGGGATTAAACAGGACAAACGCAGGAATTATGTTCCTGGTTATGGGTGCTTTCGAACTAGGGTGATCATGTGGGATATTTAAGGGGTAGGCCATTCAGAACTGAAATGAGGAGAAATGTCTTCAGCGAGAGAGTGGTGAGCATTTGGAATTATCTGCCGCATGAGAGAGTTGAGTTTTGAATATTCAATATTTTCAGGAAAGGGCTAGATATAGCTCTTGGGCGATCTTATTTATGGACTGTTAACACAGACACCCTGTTAACGTCCTGGGGACCTGGGATTAAATCCCACCATGGCAGACGGTGGACTTTGAATGCAATTAATACGTTGAATAAAGAATCTAGTGATGGTTGTGAATCCACTGTCGACAGCTGGGAATGGCACATCTGGCTCACCAACGTCCTATCAGGAAGTAAACTTTCATCCTTACGTGGCATCGTCTATGTGTGACTCCAGACCCACAGCATTGTGGATGACTCCCAACTGCCCTCTTGGCAATTAGGGGTGGGTAATAAAGACAGACCTAGCCAGCAACAATCTCATCCTTTGAATGAATGAAGAAAACAAAATCAATTGCAGCCCCTGTCTCCTTAGTCTGGGTTGGTATGAGGGTGGGGAAGAGGGAACACACGGTAGAATCGCAATTGACGTTGATTTCCCCCCTCCCTCGTTACACCGGAGTTATGGTGTCTACAGGACATGGACACAGCTGGTCAAGAAAATGACGTGCTACTCCCTCGAGGACAATTTGGGATGGACACTTGGTGATATCCTTGCCATCAATGCTGGCGTCAATTCAACCAGATGTGAGTGAGCACTGTGGATTGAAAGTGAACTTGCAAACATCGCTGAATGTATAAACTTATGAAATAGGTGCATTACCCTCAAGCCTGCTCCACCATTTGATAGGATCAGGGCTTACCTGCTTGTGTTTCAAATTACATCTTTCCAATTTTCGTTTAATTTCCTTTGCTAGCAAGAATGTATCGACCTTGATTTTTAAAATATTCAATGACACACCTCCAAACTCACAACTGCCTTCTGATAAGCGTTCCAAACTTGCACAATCCTCAAAGGCAACAAAAATTCGCCTTATATTTGGAAGGGCCAACCTAATGTTAAAACAGTGCCACTGCTCAGGCTGCCAGCCCCTCCGTCTGCACTCTCCTACAAGAGGAAACACACATTCCATCCGCAGCTTGTCAATACTGTTTAAGATCTTACATGCTTTGACAGATTGGAAGAATGTCATATATGCTCGGAGCCACATCAGGAATTAATGTTAGGGAGCATTTTTCTTTCCAAAGAAAAGTGATTTTGTATTTCTCATCTTAAGAAGAAGAGCTGCAGATGGCCATGTATTCTCTCCAACCTGCAAAACCATTGCCACTTGCACGTCCCATTTCTAATAGAACACTGCTCTGAAGTGAAATTCTGATCTCGCAGTAATCCAGTTCAGCTGTAAAGACCGCAGATAATGGCAGGAAAGTCAGGAAATAATTCGCATTTCAGGCAGCATCAGCGGGAAAAGAAAGTCAACTTTTCAGTCCGATGCTAAGTTGTCAGTATTTTATTTCACATATTCTGACCATCTCCCTATGTCACATGAAATTGAGAAACCCCACTCCCAGTAGTCCAACAGCTGAGATCGATAGCTTCTTCCATTTATATCCATGGCACTGGGTGAAATCTGTCTGAGCTTTTCACTAAAACAGTTTTGTTTTTGGAGACCAATTCATGAATTGTCCACACGGCAAACCTTGCAAGAAATTGATTTTTTGGACAGAATTAATCAGACTGAATACTCCATCATGCTGATAAATTAGTTCATTCCCCTGCGGTGACCTTAGGGCACCAGAACGTTAAGTGCAATTTATTTCTCAAATTTCATACCATTCCACCTACTCCACAGTTGAGTAATTTGCTTGAACGGGTATGTGATTGCATTCTTTAGCTCTTGTCTGAATTTAACCTGGATGACAGCATAAATACCTGTGTTAGTGCAGGAGCTGAGGAGTTGCAGCATCTTCGCTGTGCGATCTGTGATAAAGCATGGGTCTGTGTAGGAGTTGTAATATCGGATATCTGTAATTCGTGCATAAATATTGTACACAACCTGGGTCACCCACAACAGCACAAAGCTGACCGATATACTGAACAGCAAAACGATGGATTTTCGCCGGTTATCCGTCTCCACATCCTTATGCGTCTCTCCACATTTTTGACCACGGAGACTCCTACGGATTTGACTGCTCACTAAAATACGCCTAACAGTCAGCACATTGAAAAGCAAGATGAGAAAGAACGGTACACAAGGGGTTAAAATGTAATTGATTATTTCAAATGCAGCCCATGCAGGGGAATTGAAATAACTCGGTTTATGGGTGCAGCCCCATGGAATATTATCAATAATGGATCGTGGCACATACATAAAATACCAGGGTAAAGACTCCAGGCAGCCCAGCACGGTCACGGTACCTAGAATTCCTGCTGCAGTCCTCTCGGTGCAAAATTTTACTTTCAATCTCTCATGACAAATGGCCACAAATCGGTCAAAAGTGAATGTGACTGTGAACCAGACAGAAATCACTGTGGAGGCTGACCCCAGGGCAGAAAGAACACTACACATAGGAGTAATTTTCACGAATGAATTCGGAAAATAAATTGGAACAGTGATCCACAATATGGCATCAAAGACAACGACAAGGAGATCAGCCACTGCCATTCCAATCAAGTAATAAGTGATGCACTTGGAGAGACCACACTTTCCTCGGGACAGGATCATTATTGCCACCAAGTTAACTGTGAGGGAAAACATTGAAACAGAAGTAAATATTTCCATAAAATGTCCTGAATCAAAGAACAATGTGGTAGAACCTCAGGCAAAATGTCCAGCTATGATGTTGCATGACAGGTGTAAAGACATTTACTGCATGCTTTCCTATAATTACAAGATTGAAACACGATTACCAACAGTATATTTTGGAATCCATAGTACAAATAAATAAAGCAAGCAAAGTAGGTTTATAGTCCATCATTAAGGGCGAAATGATTTACCTTGAAGAATGTAGAAGCAGATATAATTTCTGCATTTAATGATTAGAAAAGATGTTTGAGCAAAATACACAGTGATAAGTAATGATAATTAATCAACAAAGTCATCACCAGTTGGCATCAGGAACACTTGCGATAATAGCTTACCAGGAAAACCAATGATTGAAATAATTGGAAAGAAAACATCTTCTATTTGCCATACAATTGGATACGCCATTTTTGAGATTAGCATCAACTCCAGTTGCTTTGGGGTTCACACTTCTGGCAGGAACTGTGAACTGATCCATTCCAATCAATCCTGATTTATGTAGAGGGTAAGCCTCCAGTGACATAATTACATTGACATCGCTATTAGTAACAGTAACTTGAACAAACAAGTTGAATCAACATGTTTCTCTCTGATGTGATTTTTGTGGTGGACAAAACACAATCACTTCAAAATTCAGAAGTCAACATTAATTCCACCATTATGCTATGAAGGTAAAAATGCATGCAGAAGTGACCAATCTCACACATAATGAATACCTTCATTTAAACTTCCTTGTAAACCATGCGCTGGTTTGATTCAGTTAACTTAATCCTTTCTGCTCTGGAAGGTGCACAGAATCGAGAAACACAGATTCCTTCTGGTTCTGCAGATTCCCAGTTAAAAATACAAACTTCAGTTCTGTAATGACATTGAAGTCTGTTTCTCCATTTGAGGTGGTGGGATCCCGAGAGTTCATTGTCTGACAACTGGTTGGTGAAGGTATAATTTAGAAGTCAATCTTTACTCAGTTTATGATTTATTTGTATGTTGGAGAATTGCGGATGTACATATCCTTACTCTGAAACCCAGCTCCAATGCCAGTACATGACTCATTTTGCAATGAGACAATTCATGACCACTTCACTCATCCCAACCCTCACGCTAACCCTAATCCAAACCGCAACCCTAACTGTACACTGAAGTCTATTTTGTACAATTAACTAAGAAATGTAGTATGCTCTTTCGTCCTCTGCCTCGTCATTAACATTTTAGGATTGTGGTTCAATGTAGCCTGAGAGGCAAGTTTTTGCCATTTTACTTTTTTTAAATTCACTCGTGGGACTTGGGCACCACTGACTGTTTAAACATTTATCGCCATCCGAAAATATCACTTGAGAAAGTGCTGGTCAGCTGGCCCTGCACTGCAGCAGTCTGTGTGCAGTTTTAATATCTGTTTTCCCCATCTTTTCGTCCCTTCTTCGCTTTTCAATTAATAGACTGGTGATTGTTGTCTTTCTGAAAAAAAGTATTCACTATCCATTTGCTTCAGTCACTACCTGGTGGGCGTAGCAACAGCATATCTGATGATAGCAATCAATGATGTCATATTGTATCAGATCAATCGTTATTACTTCCAGATTCCTTCCTCAACACGACTCCTGTCTGCAGTATTATTACTGTTCACAGTTACATATCTACAAATACTTCACTTTGGTAAACAGTCATTTTCAAACTCAGTCACTTTGTTGCCATTTGTTGCCAGAAGCTGAAAAGAAAATTTTCTACTCAGAAAACAGCGATGGTTGTATTCCACCACTCACTCTACTGTTCCATCCAAAAACCCTGCTTTTCTACTTTACCTTACAACATGATAAGATCGTTGATAATGTACTGTGGGACTGTTGAACAAAAGATATCTATTTTACTGATCTTGAGTGGGCGATATTTGACTGGGTTGATTCTCTTCTAACTTAATTGTTTCTCTTTGATTGAATTATGCTGCTCAGGTTTCATACCATTGGTAATATTTTACTGAGCAGACGAGTCTTTTAAGGCCTGAGGTCCAGAACAGAGGAGGGAATTGCAGAGATCCAGAAATGGCAATCAACAGGAAGTCCGTGCTCTTGTTGTTTGCTTTTTCTGGCACTTCCACGATCTTGCGGCTGACTACAGTTGCAGAATTCTTATGTTATAAGATTATGGAGGCTAATTTTGCAGATTACACTCATTCTCTTATTATCAGTGAAGAAGTCAGATACATGGTGTAAGTTCCTGCACAAACACATTTATTTATGAGGTCATGAGAATACAAAGTTCATGGGACATTTCAAGGTCATGCTGAAATATCCAGTGGAAATTGATTGTCAATCAATTAAGTTGTAACAAGCACTGAGTTCAATCCAGAGCTGCATTCAGTTGTATCCTGTTCATTGCTCAACACAAGATATCCCAGCATCTCAAAATATATTCCTGTGCGATACTGTTTCTTGCTTGTTCTGTTGAATCTTTACACTTTGATCCAAACTAACACGTCAGCATGTTTGTCTTTTCCCATAGCATCTGATAAGCATTCCAGGTTTAAACACTGACAAAGGAGAATCAGCAGGACTTGCGGTATCATTCACATGCAATATGTGTACTTTAGGTTTTCAATAAAAACCACCTAGACTGTTCCATTGTCTCTTGGCTGAAATTTGAAATTTAATCTTCAGTTTAATTTCCTATTGTATGCTTGAACTAGCAACTTTATTCAAATATTTTTACCAATCCAAATGTCAGGAACATTTGCATCTAGTCTTGGTGCTTTAAAGTGGTGCTGTTATATTGGAGATTCCGGTGATTGTAATCGCTTTACGTTTTCCCTGATTACAAAGACTTGTCTTCCAAGCTTCCAGCTCACTTGCTCTATTCTTGAAACCTGTTAAAATAAAGTACAAAAAAAAATTCCATGGCTCAGACAGAAAGCCAGTGAGTTAAGAATATCCACAGAACACATCTCACCATCTGGAAATTGTGGGAGAAGGTTTAAAACTGTCAACAGAAGTGTTAAATCTGTGCAGGGGCAGAACCGAGATCAGCAAATGATGTGACACACACTTTCATGTACTCCGTTCAAAAACTGTCAAAAATATCTATCGATAATTTCAAACTGGCATTTTAAGTCTCTATTTCATTAAAGATGACATTTTCTAGATCTTTCCTTCAAGACCACTTTCAAGAAGAAACAACTCATGTATGTGGGCAAAACATTTCTCATGACAAGTTGAGTACAAATTGGGTGTCTTCCAAAAAATTTTTATGTATGTTTCGAGAACAAGCTAAACCACTTTTATTCACAAATCTTTTCTAAAGCCTTCTTCAGAAAAATACTGTTCTCAAATTTCCAAAGAATCGAGATCTCAGCATTTTGAATCTATGATGCTTTCGGATGACGCCCAGTATTTGTCCTGATTTAAGTTGAATGTAAGGAGCACTCTCATTGTAAATTCCATGGGAACTCTTTCTGAGTACGATGCAATTTTTATACAGGCTCCTTTAACTTCACTGGGAGAAATAGACTTCTTGATCTCTTCCTTAGCTGTGGCAAAGTGTTGTACTTATTTTCCACCTTTTGCAGCTCCTGAGTACCATTATACACCGGGTTTACCTCACTGCCAGAGATGGAACAATTGAGGAAACACTAACAACCACTTTCTCGAGGTTAACTGTGCTGCCTTGTAAGGTAACAGCCCCAGCTGCTGTCTATTCACGGTTTTCTCTCTGGCGTGTTTTGATTTTTGCTGTTTGTTTTTATAACATGGAAGTTAACCCCGCTCTGAGAACTAAAACTGTAATGCCCAAAGAGGATCACCTCACCCTATAACCTGTAAAGGAGTGTAATAAGTGGGCTTACCAGCCTTACAGCAATTGTAGCGGTTAAATAAAATAAATCCCTGACACTCATTTTAAATCTTATATTCACCAAGCAACAATTTATTTACCTAACTCTAACAGTGAACAAATTAACTAAACTTTAACAAACTGATGAACCCACTGCTAACTATTAACTATTCCTGAATAAACCAAGATACTAATGGTATGCTGTTGCAAGAAATACGAGTCCCACTTATATAGAAAAACAAATTCAGTCTCTTGAAATTACAGTTAGGTTACTTGTCTTCTGGAATATTCTGCGCTTTCGCCCCCGATTATTCTGTCAAGGATATTAACTAGTTTTGCCATTGGTACCTTTGTTAAATAGATGGTGCATTCTCTAAAACATAGAGGAGGACGTGAGACCAAGCGAGTCTGTCTTGAGAGCTGAGATCTGTTAGCTCTGGTGGATGGCAGTTAGCTCTGTGCTTTGTCAAACTGTCCTCTTCCTTTACATTCTTGATGACGTATCAATATTTCTTACAATAGGATTTGTCCTATATTGTCATAACCATCAGATTTAAATTTAATAAGGTTTTGATATCTAAGGCCTTTTTCAAATTGATTGACAAAATTCAAAAGTATGTTGTCTTGGTAAAAAATAACTGACGCTTGGCTTGCAAACAATACGGCCTTTTGATACAAATATTTCAATTCAGGTGCTCTCTGTCAACTTGCAAACATTCAACCTGTTGCTCACAGACATCTGTTTCAAATCTCTACGCATTGAAAAAGCACATGATCTTTTGAAGTGACCACGTAATGCTTTCCCCCTATCATTTTACAATCACCAAGTTCTAACTTCCTGCCTCACAATCCACAAGTACTTCATCCAACTTTGCAATAACTCTCCCCGGAAATAAAAAAAATGAACTATTATTCCAAAAAGATGTGTTTTTTTTCTAACAAAAACCTTAACTGCGTTATATTACTAGACCTAAAGTTCATTCATCTAAAGTTATAAATCTTTTGTCACTCTATACATATAAAACATTCAAGTCTGCCATTTCTTATATGAAAATTTTTCTTTTAGACTTGTGACAAAGCATCTACCGATAATATTTTTATAATTCACAACATGTACAGTCTGTGAATCAAATGCTTGTAATATGAGACTTAAATGAAATAATCTGGTGTTCTTGTCCTTAAATCTTTCCAGAAATATCAAAGGACTGTAATTGGTATAGACAATCATATCTGATGCCTTGTTTGCAGCATAAGTATTAAAATGTTGTAAGGTCATTACTAAACTCAATAACTCCTTTTCCACGATTGAGTATATTTTTCGGGAGTATATTAAGTTTCTTTGAAAAAAGTAACTGATTGGCCTTTCAATTCTACTATCATCCTCCTGTAACAACACAGCTTCAACCCCTACATTGCTTGCATCAATGGCAACTTTGAAGGTTCAAAATAAATTGGCGTGGCTAAAACTAGTGTGGTGATTAACACTGCTTTTAAATCCTCAAATACCTCCTGGCATTGTTCTGTCCACCAAAACTTTGTGCTCTCTTTTAACAAATCTATCAACAGTGCCACTACACTATGAAAGTTTG